AAAGGGAATCATGACATGCCACACGTCATGTGTCCTTAAGGGGTTAAAAGGACACTATAGTCACCAAAACAACTTTAGATTAAAGTAGCAGTTTTGGTGTATAGATAATTCCTCTGAAGTCTCACTGCTCAATTCTCTGCCATTTTGCAGTTAAATCTCTTATGTTTCTGTTTATGCAGCCCTAGCCACTCCATCCTTGGCTGTGACTCACACAGCCAACATGAACAAATGTTTCATTTTCAATCTGATCTTACAGCACATTGTGTTTACTCTTATCTCTCTTTCTGTTAATTGAACTTTAATCACACGCAGGAGGCTACTGCAGGTAATTAACAGAGCAGGAAATAAGAAACTCTAAATTGAACACACTGCAATAAAGGATGTATACAAATTAGATCTATCTTTGCAGAAAGTGTTTAGGGAGGCTGTGTAAGTCCCAGCCAGGGTAAGCTTGGCTAGGGTTGCATAAACAAAGTGATTACACTTCTAGTTGGCAAGGAATTGAGCAGTAAGACTGCAGGGGCATAATTTATACTTAAAAATGGCTTTGTTAAGCTAAAGTTGTTTTGGTGCCTAGATTGTCTCTTTAATACAATTGGTATTAGGAAAAATGCTTTCTTTTGAACTTAATGTATTTTCTGCAAATCTCAATGCAGATGCTGCAGTTTGCTCTATCCAGACCACAAAGCAATTGAACATCTTACAGCTACTTCCATCATGGCCAGGGCCAGCGCGTTAGGGCGCACCTGCTCTGTGGACACAGCGCTCTCTCCTACCAGTCACTCAATGTAGCATGGCATACACACTCCCTGAGAGAGTATTTGCTGTCAGGCCAGGTACAGGAAACAGAATCAACTGTACTGCGGTCCATTCTGCTCAGCCACTCTACAAAGAGAGGTAGGGAGGCACACCAGGGAAAGGAGGGGAGAGGACAATTAAAGGGACTTTCCAGTGCCAGGAAAACAAACCATTTTCCTGGCACTGCAGGTCCCCTCTCCCTCCCACCCCCATCCCATGTTGCTGAATGGGTTAAAACCCCTTCAGTGACTTACCTGTATTCAGCGCCGATGTCCCTCGGCGCTGGGTCAGGGTTCGCCCACGCTCCTATTGAGCATGCACGGCCGGCGGCGGGGGAGCCCTAATGAACGCGCATTATACCACCCCATAGGAAAGCATTGGAAAATGCTTTCAATGCTTTCCTATGGGGATTTCAGCTATGCTGGAGGTCCTCACATAGCGCGACGTTATAACACACTTTTCGTGTTCTATGAACACGGAAGTATCCTCTAGTGGCTGTCTAGTAGACAGCCACTAGAGGAGGACTTAACCCTTCAAGGTAAATATTGCAGTTTATGAAAACTGCAATAGTTACACTTGCAGGGTTAACGGTAGTGGTCTGGGTGCCTGGAGTGTCCCTTTA